AGCTCATTTAACAACGGAAGCTGAATATGTGACAGCAGCAGAAGCGGCAAAGGAAGCTATTTGGTTGGATAGGCTTATCATGGAAATGGGATTGAAGCACGGCGTGGTTAATCTTCATAGTGATAGCCATAGCATTTTACATTTGGCCGCGAACCAGGTCATGGGTAGCAGAGTGAAGCACATTGACATCAGGTATCATTTTATCAGACAAGCAGTGTCTGATAAAACGATTGAGCTAGTCAAGATCGACGGTAAACTCAATGCAGCTGATGCTTTAACCAAAGTTATTCCATTTGAGAGTTTCAGGCGACACTGTGCTACCATGCAAGTTGTGCATGGGGAGCATATGTAAACTTTGCTAGCATAGTAACTCTATTTACCTATTTATGTTATTACTCTATCCTGTTATGGCTACGGTCTAGTTCTAGTTAACTCTCGTATAAAGAGAGTCCTTGTGATAGGCTTCTGTCTATAACTTCCCGTTGAGTAATAATATAGGTTTTCAGAGGTTATTGTTTCCTTAACACGAGTTAAATGGGAGATTGTTGAGGTTAACTCCAGTTACGGAGTAACCACAGGCTCTAGCTATTTATAGTTATGTGTGTCGCTGGCTTTGGGTTAAATATACCCCCAAAGCCAAGGCTTCTCAGAGGAGCTTAAGTATTGTGTATTCACTTGTCAGTAAACCTGCTCAGTGTTCTAGCCGTGAACGTAGCCCTCAAGGGTGAATCACGTTATATGAGTGTCTTGTGTCTTCGTACTTGGCTTGAATGATTCTTGATTTTACGTTTACAAAGTAGAGTTGCTTCATAAATCTATGATGTTTCAACACACAGTTTGACTTAGACATTTTAGCTTGAGAGAGTGAAACTCTATGTTAGTATGAAAACAGTATGTAGTTTACAACAATGATTATTACATCAAGTTGTCCCAAATAGACAACATACCAAAAGATTTGCATTGGCAATGCTCAAATAATGAAACTTGCAAAATGAATTGATGAGCCAAATAAAAAAAGAAAAAAATAAATTTCATCATAAATTAGACAAGCATACGAAGCATGCAAATCTTCACATACATAAAATCATATTTTGATTCTATCATAATTATTGATGTTGATTTTAATATTAAAACCTGAATCAAGTATATCATATGATATTTGTGAGTTTGTACAATATATATATATATATATAGTATTTTTAGAGCAATGATGCTATACAAATAGTCTTTTTTCAAATTTGAAAATTGATGTCAAAGTTTTTGATTGGCATATTTTTTGTCAAAAATAAAAATGAGTACTTCAATTACACTACAAATTGCCATGTATGGTAAAAAAAATAATTCTTATGCAAGAAACATATAGATTGAAGTCAAAATATAAATATATTTGAACATATTGTGAGCACAACTTTTGTCTTTCAAATTAATAATAAATTTGTTAATTACAATATTTATAATATCAAATCAGAAAGTTATTTGTTGTAATTAGTTGATATTATCACATGATATATTTTTGAAAGTTAACATTTGCTTAAACTTATCAATAATTTATTTAAGAAATAAAATAATACAATCAAATCAAACGCAATTTATCAAATTCCAAATCATAATATTGTTATGGACAAATATAGACAATTAATATAATAAGTGTATCATATAATTTTATGCAACTTGTATTAGAGCTAAAATGTGTTCATTCAATTGATATTGTAATGTGATTTATGTAGATCCATTCAAAAAAATGTTTTTTTTATTCTGATAAAATTTGAACTAATTATCTACAAAAAATTAGCATTTGAAATGAAGATATCAATAAAATTTTGCATTTGTAATCAACACACGAGTACAATTTTAAGATAAACTTGTACATATTTTTTGATGTGGCATGAACTTTTAATTTTATCATAATGGAATTTAATTTTACACTTGAAGTACTACTACTATTGAAGTTTTTTATCATCAAAAAACATAATGCATGACTTGCATGCATCAATCAACTAACAGTTAGTGAACTGTATTGATCATTATCTAGCAAAAAATATATTCTAAAAAAATTTCGTTAAGTTGTTGTTTGGCCAACAATATTAACGCAATTCTGTTATCGTTCTTTTAAAAATTGTATTTGATTTCATTTTTCTAAATTTATTATATAAATTTTTCATTTAAATATTTATATTTAAGAAAATATAATTGTGTACAAAAAATTGAATTCTTTTAAATTTCACAAATGTTTTCAATTTATTTGAACATATTTCTATATTTTGTTGAATTATAATGTAAAAAATGTTTGTTGAACTCACCTAATCATACATAATTTCAACTTTTTGACTTTTTTAACAAACATATAACGTAACATACTATGATTCTTGTCATCATCTTATAGTATGTCTTTATTTTAATGTATGTCTTCTATTCTACTTTATAACTTTCAAATATTTTTTGACTTGTTACCCTTGTCATTTATGATTTACAACATGCATAAAGAAGTAAAAAATTTATTCTTCGTACGCACATAGTATCATATATATATATATATATATAAAACAAAACCGTAATTCCAAGAATCACAACGACACACCCAAGGTAATCCAAGTCACAGCCGAAACAAGATGTACCGTGTTTCACCCTCATGAAGAACGCTACGTCCACCTAAAAACTCACGCATTAGAGTTTTACTAAGAAAGTGTTTTCTTGATACACAAACCCTGGGATATAAGAACCCTAGTGCCGACACCCTCTTTGTGTACTAATAGTTGTGAATTAATTTTTTAATTTTTATTTTAAAATACATGGAAATTGTGTGCACCGGTTTAAACATGCAATTATTGGAATAATCTGATATATTTTGTCGTCTGAAACATTTTTTTGGACTAAATATTTAATAATATTGATATTAATAATATTGATCAAGATATGTTTGTATACATTGAATCAAAATAGGTTGAATGAATGGTCTGTATTTTTTTCACGCATCATAAAACTGAAATTTGTACTTAAAAAAATTCTGTTGGAAAATTAAAATAAAATTGTAGGTTTCTAATGATTCAATTCATACTTCTCATAAAGAATTTTTTTTTATTATTTTGCAATCAATTTAAAATAAATTAAAACTTCAACTGCAAATTTGCTTGTTAGTGTATCATCAAAATTTATATATTGTCATAATTTGTGAAAATGAACAAAGCTTTACTGAAAATCTTTCTTTTTTTTTCATTTTATGTAATTTTTGTTGGAAGTGTACTGTGATTATTAATCTTGACTTAAATCTAAAACTTTCTTCTTTTTATTTTTTATATTCCATTATGATATAAGAATTATGATTTTAAAGATATAATGAATGAATCAGAAAACTAAAAAATCAGCACTGGAACCTAATTTTATTTACTGATAATATTTCCATATAGGAAAATTCATATTTTCATCTGTATTTGAAGAACATTGCATGTTATTTTAAATGATATTTTTATCAATATGAAATGAAATTTCAAAGTTTTATTTTCAGGTGTAATTTTTTTAATGTACTGACTGTATGTTTATAAATTTTGATCATTAAAATGGAATTTGTAGTATTTTAAAATATTTCTTGACATGATGCGTATTTCTGGTAGTTGCAAAATTTATACATGTATTTTTGTATATAATTTTCCATGTCTTTGTTTGTATTTTTTATTCTTTAAGAAATCTATGAAATTTGTAGAGACTATCAAATTGTTCATTTATTGAATATCAAAAGTCAAGATCACAAGCAACTATTTTCAAATTTATGTATAAATCATTCTATTATTTTACTTTTTGAGATAAATGATTGTCTCAATCATTAAGAAATCAAACATGTCAAGATTGCTAGATGATTATAATGATGATTTTGAAGTGTACATAAATTCAGGTTGTACCGAAACATTACTACTTGTTATGATTTTAGTCAACATTGCAAATTTGTCATTTGAATGAAAATTATATGAATCAGATTTATTGTTAAATTGTAAAGTTTAGTACACATGCTTTACGATTGATGGATGCATCTCAGTGCATCAAAATCATATTGCACATTCTTTACAATACGGATTGGTTCTCAACAATTAAAGTACACTTGATATGGATTTAATTTCTTTATATTTCACAATTCTATCCATTCATGGTTACTTATTCGCCCTACACACAACTAACGCGATGATTTCGGTTTTAAGAATTTTACAGGGTCATGTGCTAAAATCCATACAAATGTATGTAAGTATAATTTCTCCAGATGTATGCATCAACACGCAAAATTTACCATCAACGATGATAGAGGTTTGTCAGAAACATAAACGTAAAGCTCACACAAAAAGTTATGATTTAAGGTGGATGAGTATCCTCATCCTGGGGACAGAATCCGCTGCCTTTTGAGCATGATCGGCATTTTTTAAGGAGATCTGAGTGTCAGTGGAAGTATTGTAAGTGGATTTTCTACCCGCACGTGTTTACTTCCAAAACCACTTTACGTCGGCAGAGCCAGCCAGTATTTAGCCCGAATTGCTGCCTAGTATGAATGGACGAATATCGACAGGTAAAGCCAAAATTCGAGCTTACACTAACTGGAAACCACATCATTGCGCCAAGTATCGAGCATCGCCGCTCGAGCCTCAATATTCTCACCACAACCCAAACGAGGAGTTTCAAGATGACCGAGATCAGGCCCGAGGGATGCAGGATCCTTACAGGAGAGAACTCCGGGAATGGATATTACTGGCGTAAGACAGGGCGGTAGTTATATCGGAGGTCGTGACGGCAAAAGGTGGCCTTTTGTCGGCCGCAGTCAAAGTCGGGGAAATACAAGCGAATGATTCGAATCTACTGGATGCGCGAGAGCGGTAGATTCGGACCAGCAGTACGAAAGAAAGAAAGAAAGCGGAGGTCGAGAAAAGCACCGACTGCCGTGCCCGTGCGGAAAAAGGGAGCCCACGGGCTTATCTAAGGTGAGAACGGCGCAGCAAATGATCAGCAAAATATGACAGAATCACCTGATTGGGCTGTGCTGCTCCACCACGGTTTCGCGGCTCTGGAGCGAATGGCCCCGGTTGACAGCACGAGGAGCTTAAAGGGATCGAGTCCGCGCGGGAGCAGGGAATTTCGCGATTATCCTCCGGCTCCGGAGCGGATGAGTCATGCTCCAGTGGTGATCGCATTCCAGTTTTCGCACTGGAATGGCACCGTCGGCCATGCTCGACCCCAGTGCCACCTCGGCCGCGCGTCTCACCAAGTGCCCTCCGCTCGCACCGATTTCCGCCTCGCGTTCGCACCTTTCGCGCGATGGTCTTGAGCTTGCGAGTCCTGTGAGTATGGTGGTGATCGATGGCACATTTCGCCGGCTCGGGTCTTCGTTCAGCGGGTTGTGTACATATTCGAACTCCGAACTGAGGCGGTCCGCAATTACGTCTAGTTGTGGCGCCAGCCGACCCCGAGTGCATGCTTGTAAGGATCAATTATTTAATCCTCGCAGAGGTGTATCGTCGTCTTCTCTCGTGCGGCGCAACAAATTAGCAGGGCGGAGGAGGGATGTGCAAAATATCTCGGACGTAATTTCCAGGTATTGGAATGTTAGGTGGGCAGGTTTGGTCGCTAGAGCCGAGCAACAGTATTTGGAAGCATCGTCTGAAATTGCGAAGGGATCAACCCAGACTAGGAGTTCCTTGGTGGACGAATTAAATGGGAGTGACCGCGGTGACCAAGGATCGATGGATGCCGAGCCGAAGCAGAGCCCAATTGGAGTCTTTCCTGGCGGTGTCAGAAGAGCCGAAGTTCGTATACCAGGACTAGTATTGCGTTTACAGGTCTTGGAAGTGCTCGAGGGCAAAGCTTTTGAAGGATTTCTCGATACATTGAGTGCAATTGTAGCTGAGAGTTTGACCATGGTGATACTCGAATCAGGAGTAGATGGTGAAGGAGGAGCTCGACTCTACGAGGCCGCATGCTTACTTAAGTCGGTTTTGAGGGGGAGAGCAGTATTAATGGTAGCTGAAAGGGTGGATATTGCTGCCGCAGCTGGCGTCGATGGTGTTGTTCTCTCAGATGAAGGTCTCTTCGCTTCCTTAATGACCAAGAGTTGATCTTGCTGTCAGGTTTCTCGTTATGAGCTGCTTCTTACAATTTGTGTCAGTGTCAGCTGTACGCTAATTCGTTACACTCTGGGAGGGAGAGAGTCATGGGAAAATTATCAGTGGTCTCTCTATATGTGTGAACTTTTCGCTTTTTTCGCAATCAGATTGTATACGTGCCGTCAACTGCAGAGGTGGATTGGTTTTGTATGTCCTGCAGTGACCAATGTACGTGTATAGTTCTCTATCAAGGCAGTTTGCTTTTCCGCATTTCCTTCCGAACTGACTAAACAGCTAGGAAAAAAATTGTTGTAAAATGTTTTATAAAATGCAAGAGCGATAAAATGAGTAGCAGAATCTGACTCAGAAAGTACAAGCCCTTACCCTACCGCCATGTCTCATACCCTGAGCCCCCAGCGTTGTTCGATCGCAAAATTGGAATGTCTGCAAAGTTTACTTGGTCGCTATGCCCTATGCAGGCTTGTCAGGTTCACTAATAATCTAGTAGTTGAAGTGAATCTGGTGCTGACAAGGCTTGTCTTAGTTGACAAGAACTCGTTTCATAATAATGAGTTCTGTCCTGAGGTTTCAGTTGTTCAAGCGAAGGGGTCATACAATAATATAGCAGGTGACCGGGCTAATCAGGGCTAAACAGTTCACTGGGCAAATAGACGTGTCAAGGTTTTGTGCGCTATACACCTCGTATATTTGTGCTACGTTTCTGTAAGTTGTTTCTGTTAGTTTTCTGTAAGTCCATACCAGCTGATGTCCCTCGAAAGTGGTCTCGGACATAGCGAAGTCGAAATGTAGTTCACACTGGAATGTTTCACAGTATGTGCTACGGAACAATCGACAATATCTCTTCCGTCGTGCTTGCCAATAACCATTTCTTGTGGTTCATGGCACTCCACAGCCCTGGGACCTCTGACCCAAGAGGGTTATGTCCTACAGTCACGTCGCCATAGCTCTCGGACCAAAGGCCTTTCGTCCTTCCAAGTTTTTATCTTTTGCAAAGCACGTGGCATTTTGTGACGAGTTTTTCTCCATAATACTAGATCTTTAGCTTGCCAGGCTTCACAAACTCATATTGAACAGATCCGCTTTTATCTTCGACTCGGTAATTTATTCCGTGACCAGTCGCTATGTAGATAATTTAGTGCAGGTTGTTTCAGCCTCGTTCTCAGTAAGGATGGGTGTAAGAATAAAAAAGCACAAAAACAAAGTTTTTGTGCTTTTTTATTCTTACATCCTCCTATGTTCACAGGACGTCCGTGTACTTTTTCGTTATCAGGGTTGTCTTATTAAAGGACATGAATACTGTGTCTAGTAGTTGGTTTGCTTTCAATATCTGTTCTCGAGTTGTCTCTGTGCACATTTTTTCTGTTTTGTCGAATCTATTCTACATATAAACTAGGGCCTTACGTCGAGAGTCATTCTTCTGCAGGGCTACCTACGGTGGTGGCTAGGAGGATGATGCAGAATGTTGTTTCAGACTCTGCCGTACTGCCCCTTGTGGCTAGGACTGTCTCATCAACGCAGTCAGCCAGAAGTGCAACTGCTTTGGAAGGAGCTGATTTCCTACTTCTGCAGTGTCCTGACGTGGAGGATTTGGGGAGGTACACTAGGAACATTTGTATTGAAGTGAGCATTCCAGTCTTTGTGGATGTCTCCACCCGATTGTCTGGGTCGAAAGATGAAACCGTAGGTCCAGCTTTGGAGTTGTTTGAAGCTGGAGCAAGTGGACTTGTTTTGGATGGAACGAAGTTGATGGAAGGTGGCGTCATATGCGACTTCGTGGCCGCACTGTCGTCGTGTATGACCACAGCAATGAACCAAAGAAGTAGTGCCAATGAAACTCAAAGTGGAACAGATTACTCACAGGTTGTGTACAATGAAACCACCGATGAAGGGTCGTCTCCTGGTAATGGAAGAGGTCTGGAGGTAGCCTTGGACCTAGATGAGCTGGCAAAGTTGATTGTGGAAGAAGAGCGCGAGTTGCTTACAACCATGGTTGAGTTTGTTCGAGCTGCATCTCCAGAGGTCAGATCTCCAACACGGCTCTACTCATAGAAAGTCCTCTCTTTTCCCTCCTCCTTTATATCCTCTACCTTTTTTTTTCTTCTTAATTTTCTTTTGTTACATCCACCGGTTAGCCAGGGCGTGCAGGTCTTCAGGCTATGACAGGTAAACACTAATGAACGCAGTTTCTTTCAGACCTCTCCTTACCTTGAACCTCCCCTTCCCCAACTGCTATGCTCACGGGGTTAGACTAGAAATAATCTAAGGATTTGACACTTTCAATACGGTATCGTGAATCAGAAGCACGACTTGGAAATGTAAGTCCGTAGTTTCCTTATGACCACTCGTCGGTGCTGTATTGATGAATTCGTGTGAACATGGGCCTTTCAGAGTGATACATGCATCATTTTACTTCATATTCCTTTGATTACTTAGTTCGGGCACGTCAAATTTTCATAACTGTTCACACGAATCACACAGCACCTCACACCACAATTCTGTATGTACGTTTCATCCTTTCTGCGATTTTTACCCACTTTCTGGTTTGCAGATGGAAGAAATATCTCTTTTGGTGGATGCTGTGAAGCAGCTGGATGAGCTCTTCTTGCTGGTCATTGTGGTGCGTATTTCCATCTTCTCCTTTTGAGTTGTACCTAAGGGAGGTTCCGAAAGCCTTTGCGGATGCAAGCTTTAAATGCGAGATTCCCAAGGCTTCTGCCTGCTTCCGAGAATAGTCGGAACTTTTTTTTGCCATTTTGAATGGAAGTGGATATGCAAGTGAATCGAAGTCCTTCTCGGTCAGTATGTCACTCAATCGGACAACAGTGTGATTTGGGATCGTAATCACTTCTCTGCCATGTCACCCGATGGCATGTTGTTCTCCTGATTTACTTGATATCAGCCGTTAACTAAGTACTTGCATTTCTGGTAGCGCATTATATCTGAGACCATTCCACAGCCAGAAAAGTATATACAAGTCCATATGCCATTCTGATCTTTGCTGACAAGCTTGTATACTTTCCGCTCATCAACTTGAACCAGATCGAGCACCTCTTCTTTGTGCACGCAAATGCGTTGAAAATGAATTGAATATGTTCCCCGCTTCTTTGCCATAAAAAAGAACACAGAACATACGATAAATCAATCCAAACTTTCCAAGGCATTAATATCGCAAGAGTGATCAAATTGACTGGTTTGTCTTGGAATGGAGAGAATGTTGAGAGAAGTCCGTGAATGAGGTGACTCAAAGTCGGTTGGCTCACTGTTTTCGGTTTAGGTTAGTCCGCTGTTTCTTATGTTTTTGTTGCCTCTTGGTCCAAGGCATTGTCGATGTCAAATCCTTTTTGTTTTTTTGTGTAGGGAGAATTTAATTCAGGAAAATCGTCTGTAATAAATGCCCTTCTGGGTGAAAGGTTCCTGAAGGAGGGGGTGCTTCCAACGACGAACGAAATCACCGTACTTCGGCATACCGGGGAAGGCGATGAAGGAAAAGAGCGATCAGAAAAACATCCAGACGGTCACTTCTTACGCTACCTTCCAGCCGAGCTATTGAAGCAGGTTAGTGTGAACACCGCAAGTTACCATTGTGTTCACAAAGCGTAACGAACGAATGTTTTCAAGCTGCCACGAACCTACAAGCAAGTTCTAGTTTTGATCTTTAGCGGGTGATGTGATTTGCCTCGTACAACGTCAGTGACGACTTATATATGACTTGATAAATAGTTTTGTACAAAAATTTTTATTCCTTGGTGCTTTAAGTTTTGACTACCGAAAAGGAGGCTTCAAGTTTCGAGCAGCAGTCCCAATATCGCGTTTTTAATCTTGTCTGAAAAATGTTGGTCAGAGCAGATGAACCTTGTTGACACGCCAGGGACAAATGTTATTCTTCAGCGCCAACAACGGCTCACTGAGGAATTCGTCCCTCGCGCGGATCTAGTTTTGTTTGTGTTATCTGTCGATCGGCCTTTGACAGAGAGCGAGGTGAGCTTTCAAAATTTGCTCACTAATTCATTTGATGATGATTCAACTATCCTTGGGATTCGAAGGGAACGCGATCCAGGTTTTACAGACTAGAAACTCCAACGGTGGAAAGGTCACTTCTGTTTCAGACGTTTGAAATTGTTGAAATGGTTTGTTTTACCTTTCTGGCTTCAACGTGCGTCGTTCGGTCATTAATCGTTTATTGGTAAATCTGCTTGACAGGTCACATTTCTCCGATATATACGTCAGTGGGGCAAAAAGATCATCTTCATTTTGAATAAGTCTGATGTTCTGGCGGATCGCAAAGAGGTAATGTGCAAGAGGCCTCAAGAAACTTTTGATAATGCATTTGTGATTTGTTCTTCTGCCTTCGACTTTAAAAAAAAAATAAGGTTAGACTCTGAATTCTCGGCTACCGCTCATACTGGTGTTTGACGTTATAGGTTTTTTATTGTGAGATATTCGAAATTTAATGATATATTTGAAGAGCCAAAAGGCTGGCTCTTATATATTTCTGATGATGAGATTTGGTGTTTTACAGTTGGAAGAGGTTTTAAAATTTGTTAAGGAAAATGCCCAAAGCTTACTCAGTGTGGAGGAGGCATCTGTATATCCTGTCTCTGCTCGTCGAGCTCTTCTGGCGAAGCAAGCAGCCGTGAACGAAGATGGGGTCGTAGATAGAGAGCTACTTATGCAGAACTCATCTTGGAAAAGTAGTGGATTTGATGAGTTAGAGGACTTCATATTCTGTTTCTTAGGCGGATCCACTGATGCCGGTGCCGAGAGGCTCAGATTGAAACTCGAAACTCCTTTAGGAATCGGAATGGCGTTGCTTGGTGCTAGTGATCGACAACTTGCGGCGGATATTCTGAAAGCAGAATCGGATCTCAGAGTCTTAGCTCAGATAGAAGAGCAACTCAAGCAATATGAAAATGCTGTTCAAGCCGACGCTGCACTGCAGAGGGAGCGTACGTCGCTGCTGGTGAGAGCTGAACCAGACTTTCTGCATTTGCACCTTTGGTGCATTCTTATAATGTGGTTAGCAGTGCTTTTTCACGTGGTTAGCAATCTCTTCTCTTAGAGACTTCCTTTCTCCTCATATCCGTGGAACTTCGGCTGTGAGTCTGATCTGACAACCTCCGAATGTCGCAAAACTCCGACATTGGCAGATTACAGGAGCCAAGGGGCGTGCTGACAAACTCGTGGACTCCATCTTACGGCTCTCCAATATTGAGGCCATAACAAAGTATCTCTTGGGAGCCGATGGAGTTGAGACCTTGCCTGTTTCCAGCGAATTTGGTCGACAAGTCATGGGATCTGCAACGACTGACATTCAGGTAATGAAAGTTCAATGAAGGATTACTTGTGACCTTGTATGGGATCATGTTATGTTGTCTGTGATGTTTGTGAAATATCACACTCTTCTTGTTACCTGAAATGCGTTGATACTCGGTAGGCATACGAGCGAAGTCGTACGCAGAAGGGCACAATGAAACTTGTGATGAATATTTGAGATGGAAACGCTGATTACGCTCACGTCAATGAGTATTTGACATAAAGTAAATATGCTGACTTACAGCCTTAGGACTTTGCCTTCCACAGTCATCCTCTAGAATTCTGATGAAATCCTGTTTGATCTGCAGAGAGTCTTGGATGAACATGGAAGTTGGATGGTGTCCAACGCCCTAAGGCAGCTAGACATCTATGGAGAACTCGTGAAGAATCGCTGGCCTGAGGTAATGGCAGATATGAAAGCTGGAACCTCTAATGGGTTGCAGCTTAACGACAAGTTCAAGGAGGAGCAACAGAAGAATTCGAGTAACAGCATTGCAGTCCTGGAAGCTTTTGATGTGAAAGCAGCAGAGATATTACTTGACCAGGAGATTCGAGAAGTGGTACAACTGTCGAACCTTATACACTCTTCTCAGTTTTCAAATGTTTTTCAAAGTTCAAGTGACTTCAATTGATTCGAAATGTATCACTCGAAATTTGACTAGTTTTCAAATGTTTTTCAAAGTTCAAGTGACTTCAATTGATTCGAAATGTATCACTCGAAATTTGACTAGCCGAAGCGGGTGGTTGATCGTCAGGTCCTGAGTACGTTTTCAGGTGTTGGAGCTGCTGGTGTTACTGCATCTGTTTTGACGTCTGTCTTACCAACGACATTAGAAGATCTTCTCGCTCTAGGCATCTGCACGGCAGGCGGGTAAGGATACGGGAGGATTGAGGGACTGGTTATTATTACGGTGATGAGCTGGCTGAGTTGCTCTGTCAGTCTGCTTCTAGATTTCTAGTCCAGTCAGGTGCTAAATTTGGATTTAGTATGCCGATTCATTTCTTTAAGTGTTTGCATTATAAGTTATATTTTGATTTTATCATCGGAGGCTTGTATTGAACAGGAAGTTCGTCATGCATCTCAAATTGTCAAGATCAGGTACGATGATTCGTCCAGTCTGAGGTTCTGGATGTGACAAGAACTTGGTTGTTTATCATTGTCTGCAGATTTGTGGGTATTTGGAACCTGCCTGCCAAGAGGCAAGACATAAAGAAGAAGATAAGTAGAGTCGCCGATAATTTGATCAAGCAATTGCAGCAAGCGATGGAGAGAGATTTAGAGCAAAATTTGGATCAGTTGAGGGCGGACATTCAAGCACTTACAGCACCATACAGACTAGCAGCGGAGGCTGAAAGAGCGCGGCTTCTTGCTCTTCAGATTCAGCTGCAAGTATTAGACAACCAACTGCGGTTTTTAAAGCAGAAGGTGCAAAATCTTGGAAAATAATCCGTGCCAGGGTTTAGATTGTCGGCTGATAAATATCACTGCCCAGTGGCAAACAATTGTTCCTTGTCAGCTTCGTGAAGTCTGGCCATAAACATCTTCCCTCTAAACTTCCTGCACTTAAGGGCCAGGTATAATCGCTTAGAGTAGGCTAGAGTTATGCCATCCTTACGGAGGGACTCATTGTTGTAGCGGGGGATGAGCGAGGTGAAAGGGAAGGTCCGATTCACCCTTGTAAATTATTGCATCAGTCAGTCTGACTGATTGTGCGGAAGCTGAGATTGTAGATTACCCTTGTCCTTAACCGGGTCCTTAGTCTATAATGGCAGAGGGCACATTTCAGAACCATTTCTCGCATTGGCTCATAGTCCAAAAATCTCTTTGTTTTTTGAATCTCAAATCCAAAGGCTTGAATCATCTCAGTTTTTAAAGCACTCCGAGCTTTAGTGAGGGGTGGTTGGTGTTTCTGAAAAATCCAGGATTTTTCATTTCGTCCAGTGTTTTCTGCTTTCACACAAACTCTTCCCGTCGTTTGCCAATCACGTAAGAAATGAATATCTAAAAGGCTGACAATGAAACGTGGCTCATTTTACCTTCTATCGTGTAATACATAAATATATTCATATTTTCACAGATGTCAACGCAAGCGTCGACCGGTGCTGCCATTGGGTGCTGGACGCTGCATCATCTGTCCTTTAAATAAGTAGATTGACCAGGCTTTTGATAATTGACCATCAAGTGGTGGATAAAAGCCGAAGTCGCGAAGATTCCGTCAGCAGTCTACGGAAAATTTAGTGGATGGGAAGCGATGGGTACGACCTCAGGAGTCAGGGCCAGGGTCCTGGCCTAATGCTCGGCAGCCCGGCCCATGCCCATGCCCGAGTTGCACCTTTAACTCCATATAAGGGTCTTCGTCGAATCCTGTCGCGGATCTTGTCTGAAAACTTTGCATGCGGTGCTGGGACAGGTGTACCCTTTTTTCCTGGAAGTGCCGGGATCCCCATTGGGTCGAGGCCCCATCAGTTTTATGCACAAAGGGCGGAAGTTTCGATAGTTTAGTGGCGACGAGGTGACAAAGATTGTATTGTCATGTCGCAACGGAAACCTCTAGCCTTCTATTTACCTTCTCTGTTCGCATCTGACGCATTCCCCGTTCCATTCCCTCCCCCATTTCTCTGGAGCATTTTACCGTCGACGTGGAGGGTTGCGGAATATATCTATCCACTTTGCAGAAGCAATTCGCCTCTCTGTGTGTCAGTGGCGTCAGCGGTACCCGCCGCCGCCCAGAGTCCAGATCCCAATTTCCAACCCCAATTTGATCAGCTTGTGCTGATGGGACAAAAGGGAATAGAAGAAAGGATCTTCACGCACGAGGGAAGCTGAAGGGTCCCACTGACAAGTGGACGAAAGTTTCGCGCAACCATTCCTTTTAATATTTGGGAGGGGAGCAGAGGCGACTTTTCGCAGCTCAAAGAAGTAAGAAAATGTCCTTCAACAACACGCATGCATCATAATGATGCGAAAACGAAAATGTAGCGAATAAGATCTTTCTTGGTTTCGACTGAATGGCGAATACTGTATAACTTGCGAAAAGCCTAAAGAAAACATTATCATGGATTTCATGATAGTCACTTCTATTCCATGAAAAATCTGAATTAGTTTCGAAGATTACTTTCATGTGGCATTTCAAATATATCGTCAAGGTTAATGATATATTTCAAAAAAATGATATATTTAATCCTTTCAAAACGTGGTATACATTCTTCGCTATCTAACTTAAACACTTTCCGATAATGATGGAAACGTATTTTTGTGATACCAAGAATATTTTTATATACAATATGCAAATTTGAGTTCAACACCTATTTTAAAAATTTCTATAGTACGTGTCATTTTTTGAATAGAAATTTTTGGTAGATACATTTTTTGAAGATGGAAATTACCTGTAGTATGTGAATATAAATCTCACATTATTTATCTTACTTTTTTTTTTCAGTTCTTTGAACCACATTTCGTCTCAAATTTGAGACAAAATGTCGTTCAGAACAATGTGGTTTAGTTAATCTCCAATAAAAAATTACAAAGTCCTAGATATTTTAAAGCCCTTAAAAAAATATTATTATATTGATATACATTTTGTATTATATACGAATTTTTTTATCTATTCAAATCATTTTAACACAATTCTATATGGATGAATAAATTTTAAAATCATTATTTATTGTTTTTTTAAGTTTAAATATTTTTACCATTTTTTTGTAATCTAAATTTCTAAATTAAAAAAATTAAATATTTCTTTAATTTTGAAAAACTTAAAAGAGCAAAACATCCAAGTGACAGAAAACATTCGAGACAAAATGTAGTGTGGTTCAGCCCTTCAAAGAGGCTACGTCCACCAAGAACACACTACACTTTACTTCTAGGTCATGTCCAGAAAATTATTAATGTGCAAGGCAAAATCAGAGGTATTTACCTCCAGTTTAGACAACCGTCCTAGCTATAAATAGCTAGGACCCGAGGTTACTACTTAATTGGAGTTAATCTCAACAACCTTCCCTTAACTCACGTTAAGCAACAAAAACCTATAGAACATACATTGTTACTCTGCGGGAAATTCTGGACAACAACCTAACACAAGACACCTTTTTTACACAAGAGTTAACTAGATTTAAACCGTAACCTTAACATAATAGAGTCTTTACATAAAGTTAACTAAAAAGCCAGTTAATATAGGGAATAGAAATCTCATAACCTATATAATTACTTCGCATGAAATTCTAGAAAAAAAATCTAATACAAGGTACATGTTTACAGGAGAGTTAACTAAAACTAAGACGTAATCGTCACATGATAGAGTAAATATATAAAGAGATAATCGAAATTACTATGTTAGCAAACTCTACCTGTACTCCTCATGTGGGTGTACCTACCTGTGACTATTCCTCACCGTCGTCCATGACTAAATGTCGCCCGTGACTCACTCTTACTGTCGCCCACAACTTACTCGCCCGCAACAAACGTCGTTTGCGACCATCCATCATCCGCGACCGTTGTCCACAACTTATCTTCAGTCATAATGTTGTATATATCATGGCCTAAAACCACAACTTATATTCGCTCACGACCGTTGTCACTATCAATTATGAACCATCATGGTCACCGTTGAGCGTCCGTCGACCGCGATAGACCTACCGACTATTGTTCACCACATATCGCGGTTGCACCGCCAGACGTAGATACCATTGATCGCTATTACCCCAACCGATCGTTTTCCGGTCTTGGCCGAATGCCCGCTGCACCTGCCGGTTGAGGTTAACTTTGGTTAAGGAGTTAACTGAGGTTAGTTAACCGATGTTAATCACATATGTAGCTATTTATAGCTTTGAGTGTTTGACTACCTTGGATATATATACACTGAGGATGATATGAAGACGATCACTTCAATCATTCAAGTAGTATACTCTCTAGTGTATTCCTCTGTGGACGTAGGTCTTGAGGGTGAACCACATTATACGTGTGTAATTTTGTATTTCTCGTATTGTTGGATTGGTAAAGTGTGTCGATATAATTCTTGTGTTTTGCGTTTACAATTGGAGCATAGCTGGTTAGGTTCGGACTCAATGTCAGAGGGTTTTGTCGGGTCGGAATTTCTTGCCACGATTTTATTTTATTTTTCAATGACAGATTTTGTTGACAAATTTTTTGAAAGTGAGTGTGAATGTGTTTGCAAGTTGTAGACATATTTTTCACGAGGTAACAATTAGAGAAGTTCTGTCAAGCTGTTGGAGTTTGAGAGTTGGAGAAATTGTCAAGAGGTGAGAGAGAGCTGAGTTCGGGCGGGCGTTGTGAGGCGTCAGAGTTCGGGCAATGTGACGTATTGGTTCTCAGAGGGCGAATGGTGGTGGACTTCGTTCTTTTTTGTGTCATGAAAACGTAGCAGTAGGGAGCGGAGCGGAGCTAGGCAGGTGGCAGCACAAGGGAGAAATTTTACAGGAGAGGCAGTGGAACGGAGGAGGCGCATCAAAGTATTTTTTTTGGAGTGACCGGAGAAAACCTAAACCCCCTGAGAGCGCGCGGAGACAGTCAGGCCGGAGGAGAGGAGATCGCATGAAATTTTGACGTGCGGTTAGGGCTTGAGCTCCCGCACCCCCCTTACCCTCCAGAGGGAATTACCTAACTCCCCAGGTTGCGCAGGAGCAGAGACTAGTAATAAGGCCGAAGCTCCCCGCAGAGGCAAGCATACCGGAGGAGGAGTTCCCTTCCCTTACTCTCCCTCCGCAGGAACCTCCCTTTCCCTCCCGTGAAGGTCAAGACAGGAGGTGCTACACCGCTCCCCTTCGTCGCCCGAGCGGTAGGACAGGATTCACGCAGGACAGGAGGTGATAAACCTTGTGCTAAACAGTAGGGTTTGCGCAGGCGAACGGTAGGCAGGGAACCGCTTCCCTTCCTCGCCCGCGCGATAGGGCAGGGTTTGCGCAGGCAGGTGGTCCGCTCCCCTTTCCCCTCCGACAAGGTTTGCGCAGGAGAAGGGCATGAGCCCCCTCCTTTTTATACCTCGTGCGGTACGAAGGGGTTTGCGCAAGCGAGCAGTAGGGCAGGGAATCGCTCCTCCGCTCCGCTTCTTCGCCCGCGCATGGGCAACTTTTGGGCAGGCAAGTGACCCGCTCCCCTTCCCCCTCGGACAGGGTTTGCGCAGGCACGCGGTAGGGCAGGAAACCGCTCCCATTCCCTCCTCCGCGTGCGCGGTTGGGGTTAAAACACCCCCCTTTTTTTTCGCACAAGAGCGAAGGCCTGTGCAGGGGCAGGTAGCCGCAAGGTTAAAACCTAAGGTTAAGTCTCCCTTCTCCCGTGAAGAAGGGAGGAGGAAAATTTACCACCACCTCCCTCTTCCGACAGGCAGGGTAGCAACAGGCAGCATAGTACAATTTACCCCCAGGTAGGGTACTTTGCAGCGTAGTCGGTAGTTGATCCCCTTTCCATAGTCGGCAGCGCGGTTTCTAACGTGGTCAAGGTTCGACGTGGTTAGAGCTGAACGTGGTCAATCGCAATTACAGTCACAATTGAAGTCGTGGTTGATCCTACCGTGGTTATGGTCGACGTGGTTGGACTGATCGTGGTTACTATCGACGTGGTCAATCTGAACGTGATTGTAATCGTGGTCGGAGGTCAAACGTGATCGGAGGTCAAACGTGGTCGGCGGAGCAATGCAGTCAACGGTCGAGCGACAGTGACGGTGACGGCTACGGTGTCGGTCACAACAAACGGTGTAGGAATATTCCATCATAAATGTACAATATCATCAGAAACTAGTCAAATTGAATATCGTTGGAAAGCTCTCGACACAACTAAAGCAGCTGGACACTTCTTAGGATCTGAAAAATGACTCAAAAGGAGAAAATTGACTCGAA